AAAAAGTAGTGTCAAACTTGAAAAAAGGTCCATTGTTGGTCACGCCTACAACATTCCCAGTTTCGAATGGTACAAGTATCATAAGTGTACATATTCTGTACTCCGAGCATGAATAGCGTTACGCGTGACATCGCACTGAGATCAATACTCGTTCTTCTACCACTGAGTAGGTGCAGGTGGTGGTAAAGAACGAGTAAAAAACGTCTATTATGGAATGGTGAGGCCGCCAAGACCTACAGTTTGATACAACTGGCATAGTTGTAGGTGTTGTGGTTACCGAGATGAATCGAGTCGCTAAATTACACCAGACCAAGCACAATACTCGTTCTCCCACCTCCAAGAGGGAAGTGAGAGTGGAGGTAAAGAACGAGTAAAAATTCAAAGTCTCGAGCTCATCATCTCTTCTAGTGGAACAGACCGGACACCAGGTCAAAATAGACACAGCCATGTAATTCATGCATTTATTTATCATCTTAAATTAAATGCCAACAAAATTATGATAAAATCCATGTTACATACAGATTTACAAATAATATCAATGTAAAAAATGATTGAAGGTTGAAACCGATTTGTTGTAGAATCACCTATTGATAACATTTCAAGTTTAGAATCAGTGAGAAATGATACAGCAAACATTGAATCCGGCCAAATTAAATAATAAAGAGATATAAAACACGAAAGCTGCATTATATGTGATTATGTAACATAGGGAGCTTTTTTTTTTGACATGTTTAACTGATGACTTGTAAATTACACAATGATTGTAAAAGAAAACTTCTTAAATCCAAAGCATATCTTACATAATGGGGAAATATTAGTTACTTTTAGAAGAGACTGCGTGACTAGCAGATTAAATTATACCTTTATGAACACCTCTTATTTGTCACCTTAAGCAGATTTCTATATGGCACCACTGCAATCTTTTACACAATTCAAATTCACTGTCAAACCGCCTGGTTTGAAAATGGTTGCAACCTCTTTTAAGAAAAGTATGTTCACATTCTTTCCAAGCAAGCCAACTCAAACCACTCCAACATAGATACAGAAAAAGATGTAAAACAAGGAGACAAAGCAAGAAAAGAAGAAAGAAAAAGAAATAAAAAAGGAAATAAGAAGGTAAAGAAAAAAAGAGGGAAATAAGAAGTAAAAGGAAGAGCTTGGAGTGACCACAAAAGAGTATCTCTCTGTATACCCGGTCTACCTACTCCCGTAGGTGCGCGAAGAAAAATCAAGAACATGGAAATACAGATACCAAGAATAGTGCAATATCACTTCACAAGCTCAAGCACTTTCTTAAGAAGTTTGCTTGACTGCTTGAAGGAATAAAAAGAACAAATATACAAAGGTATTAAAGTTAGCAAAGAAATATGGAAAGGACACAATTTTGATTTCCTAAGTAAAGGCCACACTCATCACACATCTGATGGACCACTCACCCAAAATGAGAGTATTTACAGAACTTTAGGACATTTAATACTGTAATTAACTAGACTATACCCATGGCATGATTAGATTTCTCTACAAATTGGAATTTTGTCTGTGTCACCTTTCAGCAAACAGTATATTGCAATTTTTTTTAAAAAGAAAACCCCTAAAAAGATTTAATCAATCACAAATTTTTCATTAGAATACTGAAAAATATATCTCCCCAACATAATTTGCAAAATGCAAACACTCCCTTCAACAGTCTCACCAACTTTCCACACAGTACATATTTATCTCAAAAGATCACACTAAAGTAGCATCTACATGTTTTGTCTTGTGGGATAAGGGATATGACATTATTTAAGTTGGCCTCACTCATGTGGTGATAAAGCGCAGCCTCTGCAGAATACAATAGTGCACACTGAAATTTTTCGGAGTCAGTCCCCGGAAATAGTCTCCAGTTGTCCCTAGTATGAGGTCATTAAAATCCATTAATTGTTAAGATAACGAAATAAAACTAAAATTAGAAATGAAAATAAACAATTAACATTAAATATGAAACTAAGATTCAGTGACAATACTTGAAGTTTTAATTTACTAGGCTCATAGCACCAACAAGTGTCTAGCAAACAGGCAAGCACACAACATAACTGCATTTCAAGAAATCAGACTTCTTTAAACATTACATCAACCCCTCAGAATCTAGGGATGCAAAAGGTCAAGTGGTGACAGAAAGCTCACAAGATAGATATCTATGCTTCTTTACTAAAGAGAAGTGCATATATACACATATGATATCATGGAATCAGCAGTATTTAAGCAGGTTGATAAATTTGGGTACAAAAAAAGTGAGTATTCTATCCACATTTCTTTAATAGCTGTTGAGTTCTGTCTGACTACAGTATGTAATTAAATGTGAAAATGATATTACAGTTACAATCACAAGCAAGACATAAGCGAGTCATTTAAGCAATCACAGACAGTGAGAATAGCACACAAGCGTGGCTCAATCAATCTTCACATACATTCTTATATGGTACAAATATCAATCATTCTTCTGATGTCAATGGTTACGCCAAAAAAAATTCTATAAGTAGGAGAGCTAGTGCGTTGGCTAGAACTCAACTGGCTAGAACCAAATTTCTCCCTCACAGTACATAAAAAATTAATAAGAGATCAAAAACAACATAACGTACACTATCAGTAATTACGCTGCTTACAAAACAAAAATTAATTTAAGACAGATATTTTCTTAAATGAATAAGACTACACCTCATCTGTAATTACCAGTATGCAAGTATGCTAAACTAAGCTCCATCATGCTAACCTTCCTATTATAAGCTCATAGACCATGACTAACAAATAAGGCTCAAATATCATGAATATGGCTTGACTCTGACTAAAGATAATTAAAATCAAACTAAGTTAATAAATTCAACAGCTCAATTAAAGCTAAAAATTAGATTGCTCCAAAAACAAATGACCAGAGAGAGAAACAGACCTAAAATAACAATAACAATAAAAACTTATGTAAAAAAAAGGGGAAAAAAAGGGTAACATGATAACCTTTTACTAAATAATACAATCTTTGCACTTCATTCAGGCATAGACAAGTTCGAGAGTCGTTTAAAATCGAGACGAATGGTCATGAGTAGCAACAACTGCAGAGCGACGCACCAAACCTTTGCGATCACCACGACAGCATAACAACCACTCCTCATCAACTTCAAGAACTAAGCTGAGACGCTCTCCTGTACTGAATGATAAGTGTCCACTATCGGACGCCAGCTGATGTTTAATTGTTCTCACATATCTGAAAAATACAACAGTAATTAATAGATACTTAAAACTACAGTACCTACTGGTGAGAGCTCACAACTGCAAGTAGTACAGTACCTTGGCACAGGCTTAGCTTTCCGTGCAGACGGAGCAGGTCGGCTGACTGAAGCAGAGTTAGCGCGGCGCTGAGAAACTCTTTTGGAGGTGTCTAACTGACCGACAGGACTGTAAGGTAAACTGCTAGGTCTTGTAGCGGGGCTGCGGGGCTCCACAGCCAGTGACTGGTCCACACGGCTCGAGCGTGTCACTACCGATGGAGGCCGCTTGCCCTTCGGGAGAAAAAAACCCAACAGAAATTCAATAAAGAAAAGGATGCATTGAATTGCTCCTCGCCAACTACTCTAACAGAATCAGACAAGGAATTCTACCTGCGCAGGAGGTAGGCTTGGTCTTCGAATGGGATTTTGAGCCTGGGTAGGAGATGTGGCACTCCGCGGGAGGGGAATGCCCGTTGGAGGTCGAACAGGCGAAGTGACTGGCCGAGGTATGCGAGACATGGAGCTTGTGCTGCTTGTCGTGCTTCCTGGACTGTGAAGTGAAGATCTTGAGGTTGATTTGACTGGGGACATGGCTGGCGACGTGCGAGTGCTTCCACTGTGAATGGTAAAAAAAAAGGAATTTATTTAGTTTCACGTGTAAACCTTTTCATCAGTGACCTAGAGAGAAAGGACTAACCTGAAAGAAGGCCTTGACCTCACTGCTTTAGTTGGGGAAGCTTCTGGAGAGGGCCGTGTACTCTGGTCCCTAGATTCAGTTCCACTGCCACTCAACTTTTCCCATTTCATTTGAAGCCGGCGGAACTTACCACCCACTCCTAGGGCATTTGCTCGTCTGGCTTTAGCTGCTGCCCCGGAACGGTCAGACAAATCTGTGTCGGTGTTATCCATGTCACTACAATGGCTGACCAGGGTCACATCCTCACTTGTTGATTGGTCAGATTGTACTCGCTGCTGAGGTGTAGCTGGAGTTGCAGCATTAAGGCTGTCTGAAAAATCCTGCTAAAGAGACAACCACATTAGATTATTTCAGCCACTATGCAAACTATCTCAACCAAAGGCTACGGTATGAAACTCAACTTACTTCCTCAGCATCTTCAGCCAATAGCCGATCAAGAGCTTGGCTGAGTTTAGACCCCAGCTGGACGCCACTCCACCGTTTACGCAAAGGGTTTGAAGGGTCAAGGAGGTCTCCAGAGGGATCAACACAAGAACGAGGTCTTCTCAACTGTCGAGCCCGACTATTGCGCTTCATTGGTGTAGTAAGATGGGTAGAATTGGCTGAAAGCTCAAGGTGTTCTGGGAGTGGATTTTCAGATGAGATATCTCTGAAAAGATTAAAGATAAACAACATGCCATTACAATTGATGTGATGTATAGGAGAATACTAATTAAAAAGTCATGAAAAATAACTCACCCTTTGAACAAAGGGGCATATTCTTCTGCAATTGTCAGTTGACCAACAGAGTTTTGAATAGAACGCACAAGGCGTAAAAGTGATGTTGGTGAAGTGGCAGCAGCAGCGCCCAAACGCTGCAAACTTTGATGCAGTTGGCGGCACTCAAAGAGGAGATCAAGATGGAATGGCAACAGAGCAAGAGGTCTCAGAGCTGCAAGAAGGCTGTCAGTAAGAGAGTGGTACAAAGGACCACCACGTAATGAGAGGACTAAAAGAGCCTCAGTGCTGTAATGTTTTCGGAGAATGCTTTCCCTCGTTCGCAGGTAGCCCATCCATGCATCCACCGACCTTACACTGAAATGGATAGAAAATGTTAGCTTAGAATCCCTCCAGACTCAATAGGAATATTGTTCATAGATCAGATTTAAAGTTCAACGTACTTAAGGAGTCCGAAGACAAAGGCATTGAATTTAAGTAAGCCTTCAGAAAAGACATCCTCACTGTTCAGGCGCAATACAAGCTCATTGAGAGAGCGCGTCATATGGCCTTGCTGAGCAGATGCCTCAACCACTTGCCACACAGAATTAGAAATATCTCCGAAAGCAGTTGCAATGTTAGCCAAAAGGCCATCACTAAGAACAGCATAAAGTGCTGGGCACAAGGTCCCAATGACTGAGTTGGCAACTGCAGGGGTGATGCCAGAGTCACCTAGCCTTGAACACTCTCCAGGTGTAGATGCTCCAGAGAAATGTGAAATCACTTCCTCAACAGCATCTGACACTGCCCCAATAAGTGCTAAAAAAAGAGGAAGAATGAATTAGCGTCATAATACTACAGAGAAGAAAAATACATATAGAGAAATTTTATTAAAAATATTCCTTACCCTTTTTGGACTCAAAGTCAGGTTTCATATGACTAGAAGGGGTGGTAGAAGATGGAGCTGAGCAGTGTTCATCTGCACTGGAGTCACCAGGGTCCTCCTCCCGAATTGGCAAGTCTGACAATGGCTGTTGCAGCTTGCATTGGTACTGACGGTTCCCAAGTAAAGCTGATACATTTGGTGAATTGGGTGGGGTCTTCATCTCTCCAACTGTTGAACTTGGCTGTAGCTTAGCAGCACTACCAAATGAAACTGCTTTCGAGGTCTGCTGTGTTGCTGGTTCACTCGTATCTGATCCTGTGGTGCTTAAAAATCTACTGACTTGAAGCCTCAGTCTTGCCATTTTCTCATCATCCCATTCAGATTCAGAAGATACATCTGAGAGTCCTGCAGTGCTCATATGAATGTAGTCTGATAAACGTAAAACATCTTCAAATTCTGCATGGCTGCAAAGGTGGTGATGGTGATGGTTGTGATGCTCAGAGCCATCTACAACTAGTCCTTCATCATCATCCCCACAAGCAGAGTCTTCATGACGCCCAGCAGCTCGTGACCTACGATCACTCTGCCCAGGGAGGAAATACGGCTCTTGCAAAGAGCAACGTTTGTTTGCCACATTTACATTTTGACCAGCTCCCATTTCAAACATACTGAACCTCTTGTTTGCTGCTTCTTTTCTCATTTTACTGTTAGAAACAACATCACCATCCATGCCAGTTCGCAGGATGCCTTTAGGTAGTGGTGGTCTAGGAGGCACAGGTGACTGTGGCGAAACTTCTGGATTTCCTCCATTCTTCTTGCCATCCTTAGCTCCTGGCAATGAAATGGATCTCTTTGGAAGAGGAGGGGCATGAGCTGAAACTGCTGGTTTTTTCTTCTCAGTGCCCATGAGACTGGCCTCTGAACTCACGCTGTCATACCGATACACATAAAGAGGATTGTAATTTGGAGACTGAGTAGATGAGTCAGTTAAAAGAGTGGATGAGCCTCTATATCCAGATGAGGGTTGAGTATTAGTGCTGGAGGCCGAAGACAAGTTAGTGCACTCACAACCTGGGTTAGAGTGACGGTTTTTCAAAGGTGCTGATGCACAGAAAAGAGGATGAACATCTGGCTCACAAAGATTTTTAGCATCTATATGCTTCAGAACTTCTGGTATATCTGCAAGAAGTATCCTATATTCCTTAGGAAGAAGAACTGAGAGAGAATTCCAATCTTGAATGTGATTAAAACCTTTCTTGCGAAGATTTTCAACATCACTGCAGGAGAAAGGTCTAAGCGGCTTCAAACTCTTTTTTGGCTGCCTCAGGCAAGCTGGAATTTTAGATATCAAATCAGCATTGCCGGTGTTTGTAGTAGCAGAAAACTTTTGAGGCCTAAGATACACCTTAGTGAGATCTAGATTAGGTTTTTTCTCCTTCAAAAACCCAAGGTCAGGAAGAGCATAGTTGGGATAATACACATAGACTGGCTTAGTTCCCTTTTCTGTTTGATCATCTTCTTTTTCTTCCTTCTCGGTGTGAGCTGATTGCAAAGCACTTTCTTTCTTGGGAGGAACCTTCACTTCTTGTAGTGTTGCTTTGGATAAGACATCCAACATACATGAGGTCTGCATACTTCTATTAATTAGAGGTAATTGGCATTGTGTCGCTGAATGCTTTCTACAATCCTTATTCTCACAACCGCAACAGCAACAGTTAGCTAGACTTCCACGAGGCGATTGTCGTCTACTATCTAAAGCAATATCCTCTCTCTCCAAACTATTATTATTATTCACATTATATCGCCGGCAATGGAACAAATCGCCCTCAGTCTTATTCAAACCATGGACATGGCCATGGTGACTAGAGTAGTTGGAACTGTCATCACAACTATGAACATTTTCCAAAGTTGAGTCTCTGGCCATGCTGTTAATTTTAGATATACTTTCTGAGACTTGCTCAACTGACTCAGAGTGTTCTGATGGGCCTTCTGCCTCTTCCTCTGCAATTTGTTCATGTGTTCTCTGAGCGCCATCTTCAAGACGATACAAACTATCTTCAAACGTGCAGGTAGAGCAGTCAGTCATTTCTTCTCCACGGACCCAACTTCCATTATTCTTTCGTGGATGCCCACAATTAAGAGAGTCAATGCTCCTGAAACTCAGTTTATTGTTAACTTTCGTCATGCTTTCTTCAGGAAGACATTGACACTCATCAACACTATTATCATTTCGGGTCACTTCCACACCTTGGCATGATCGGAACACTTGCTTGCCACGACAAGACTGACTGATTGCTCCATTGCTCTGCCACTCATTATTGTTACGCCTCATTGGACCTGATGCAGACCTGATGCATGAGTCACTGTCCCAACAATCACTCACAGACGTGGAATGATCAGTCCCTGAACCACTTCGTTGTTTCATGAATAATCTTACAAGGTTAATACCTCCAGCTGGCTTGCTTCCACTACAACTGCTCGCACCACTAGATGTAAGTGGGCTACCATTACAACGAACGTCATAAAGTTTCACACAGGAGGATTCAATGGAAGATGATGTGCTAAGAGCTAAACTTGCTCTTATCTGCTGTTTTATACGCTGCTGGTGCTGCTGACGCTGTTGTTGTTGTTGTCTTGCCAAATTTGGCAAGCTGCGACTTTTAACAGCTGTTTGCTCAGTATTGTCAGGTTGTGATTCCTCCTCAGTCCCTTGTGTTGTGTTGTTGTTGCCAGAAGGGTGCCGGCTCAGCTGCTGCTGCTCCAGTGGATTTTCTGCATCAGGCTTCTTCAGCTTGCTCCAAGTTGTGAATGTGGAGTCAGATCTTGCCATATTATTATGAGAAGATGTCAATAGTTGCTTGCAGTTTGGTCGACCACAGCCATTCTTTGAACTTTTTCCAGAGCCTGTAGACGTCAGAGAAGAATTTAGTAGCCTTTGCTCAGCTGCAAGCACTGCTGCAAGGGCTGGGTTCATCATACGACTGTTTTTGGACCAATTGTGGCTGTCGGTACTTGTCTCGCTGTCACCTGTGAATAGACAAAATTGTTTTGGTTAAAAAATTAAAGTACAAATGTCATAAATATTTTGTTTCATAGCATGCAAAAACTTAGATACTTACCCTGATCATGGTATTCTTCAGAATCCTCTGAACCCATAGTTGTAGATCCTTCAAATGCTATTGTGTAATTATCTTTGTTTGCTTGACAGGTAAGCATAATGTCAGAGTCTAGAGAGTCTACACTAAAGTTGATAGTGCCAGGTACGGCACTTTCCTTTACAGGTGAAAATAGTAACTCAGATTTGCAAATAGACATTGTATCAATGGACCCTGCTGAGTCTTCGCCCTGCAAATAATTAATAATCTGCATTAGAAAGTTAACTTCTAGTTGAAACTGAATGTGACAAAACATAGAGGCGTGAATGCAAGACTTGTTTATAAGCATTTGTGAACTTGGATGTAAGGATTAAAGGGAGTGAGCGAATCACACGCAAATATCCAAAAGCTGATGGACAAAAGAAAACAAAGCAACAAACCTGTGAGCTACTATGTGGGCTTAGAGATGAATCAAAATCAAATTTTCCCATCATGGAGGATGTTAAGGCTGATATGCTAGCAAACATCTCTCCCTGACTATTGCTCTGGAAAAATAAGTAAAATTGTACTATAAAAAACAAATGAACAAGACCAAACTGCCCACAGCTTCACAGGTGAAGCAAAGAAGATATCATAGCAAAAAGAAATAATGATAAGAAATGTCAAAGGCTTTTACCTCTGCACCCTTTTGTAGGTCACACATGGTTGGGAGTGTGTTGAGCAAGGAGTGGATATCCTCAGCACAAAAGTTCTCCATGTCGACTTCAGCAAGATTAGCGTCCAAATTTCTTGCAAGATCATCATAAAGACCACAGGCCTTATCATCAACTCCGCTGGTCAGCAAACCCCTTGCATATGATTCAGAGAGGGATGACAACACACTAACTTGGTGGTGCATGCCCTCTCGATACCTTCAATTGAAAATAAAATAAAGATAATGCTATAGTCACAGTAAAAAGAATAAAGTTGCATGATATTTTAAGTTCACAGACTCATACCCGTAATCCAAAAACCATTGGTATTCAGAGTTGTCTTGGATGAAGTCCGCATCATTTTGAGAAGATGTGTTGCTAACATAGCTTGCTGCGTAGCTAGCTGTTGTTTCGCCATTGTTGTTAGAGTTTAAATCACCTGGGCTCAGCACCCCGGTGCCTTTTCCTATCTCTTCCGTCATCCTGGTTCTGCCGCCAGGCGGCAAGCCTGTGAACAAGAAACACAAAAAACGTTTATTAGGATACACTCATTCTATTAGTCACAGCATCATGTAGATTTTTAAAACATCACTTCACTGCTAAAACCCAATAAAAAAAAATGAAAGCTAAGAAAATTACCAAGACGAGGAACTGAGATAAATCAACTATCATACAATAAAGAAATAGACATTTAATCAAATAGCCTGGTGAAATTAACTAATAAGGGACCATGAAAAACCCGTCTGCCTTTAAAACGACATACGTTTTACACATGATGGTACACATTTGGAGACTGAGGTTCGAACGTCTTTGAACCAGTCGGTTATAACCTCTAAACGAGGTGACATTGCTATGTTCACTAGCGATTAAGATCATGAGACACGCCGAGCACAGGTCCATTCGCACACTGAGGTGCGCATCCACAGCTGGTGACGTGGGGAAAATGTAAACAAACTAGATTTTGGCGGAAAAGGGAGATGGTACATCCCCGTGACGTCACAGGACCCAAATATCCTGACGTGACAATTCCTTGACGGCCACACAATCTGCACAAATTCACTTACAACTGGTGAACCTCATCTCCGTTGGTCGGCATGTCGATCAAAGAAAAGAATGAGGGCCCATTTCAGCTCCAAGTGCGAAATTCTAGCGAGATAAATGACATGTTTTCAGAGGTGTTGTGACCAGACGGCCAGACGGCTAGCAGACGAGCAGAAAGTCTTCGGATCGCGGAGGAGGGAGGGCGGGGGAAAGGAGACCGAAGAGAGGTGGGGGAAGTAAGGAGGTGAAGGATGAAGGGGAAGGGG